ATCTAGGACAGGGGTGTCAAACTGGCGGCCCTCCAGCTGTTGCAAAACTTTAATAGCCCATCGTGCCTCTGCCTTTGGGAGTCATGCTTGTAACTGCCAATCTTGCAATGCCTCATGGGACATGTAGTTTGGCAACAGCTGGAGGGCCGCCAGTCTGACACCTGTGATCTAGGTGAACAAGGAGCTAAATGTGTGCTGCTTTTACTAATAGATCTCTTTGTTTCTCATCTCTGATTTGCAGAGATGAGAAACTGAGATCCATCCCTCTACACAGAGCTTTGTGTTGATTGTCATCATGGGGCTCTGGGCTGTGATTGGACACAGCCAATCAGCAGGTCTCGGTCATGAATTATTGGCCGGCACTTGCTGCCACACTCCCGCTGTGTACAATTAAAGCAGGTCTCGACGGTAGGGGGGCGCACGTGCATGCGCGTCCTATACCCGGAAGCAGGCTGTAGGTTACTGTGTTGCATGGGCCGCCTGTCCATAGTACATTGCAGGCAGACAGTCCTTAACCTCCCTGGCGGTATGATTATGTCAGGAATTTTGTACCAAAAGCGGTACCATTTTTTTGCATGGAAATTTGGTGTTATGTATTGTAGGCCTGCAATTCCTAGTAATTACTTACTTAAACATCCCGGGTATGATATAATTTGAAACACGAAATCATAAATTATAATTTAATAATCATAAATAATAATATAATAAATAATAATACATTTAATTCAATAATATAATCAAACCAAAAACACTGAAATTTGAAACATAGCGCCAAGTTCGCACATCACTGAGCAAAGTCGCAGAATCGTTTTCAGTGTCTGATGATGAATTTCCCCCACGAATCATTATCACTCAGTTCTGCAAGTGGTTCTGATTTACTATCGCTGTTCTCTAGCCGGTCTAAAACCGCTTTTGACGTTAAGGGACGCTTTTTTGGACGCCATGGACTTTTCTCAGTTTCCAGGCAGAAAGAACAGTAAAAATGCAGGCAGGGCGCCGGACAAAGCACTCGGGACACAATGTATGTGAAATGGTTTGAAACAGCAATGTTTTACTATGTAAAATTCGTTTAGAAAAAAAATGACATTTTTTAAAATTTTCAAATTTCCCGCCGGTTCCAGCGCCCGTACGTCCCGACGTCAGAGGGACCGGAACACAGAAGCCGGATGCCGGCATCGGCCGGAGGAGATGGCCGGGGACGCTGCAGGGGACACATCACGGGAGCGAAGGACAAGGTAAGCTCTGCAGGGAATCCCTATGCAGCGCCGCATGGTAAGCCCGAGTAGCTTGGGGTTACCGCTTTTGGTACTGACATTTTACCCCGAGCTACACTCTGGAATACCGCCAGGGAGGTTAAGAGGATAATGACGGTGATTTAACAGAAGGAGGAGCGTGGGAAAGGTCCGCTCTAAATGACTCATCTACATGTATAGTTACTAACTAAAGTTTTAATAAAACAATACATGTGGTTACAGATGTTCCACTATAAAAAAAACCTGTTGAACGTCTAAACCAGCAATGGGCAAACTACGGCCCGGCGGACCTTTTAATCCGGCCCGTGGAGCGTGATACTGTCAGGATGGCTGTCAGGATGTGTGTAGGCGGGGCAGCGTGACGAACGTGAGGGGAGCTAGGCTCCTCTCACAGTCCGCCCTGAAGACCGGAACGGCGCGGGAACACGGCGAGAGGAACGCGCGGAGCAAAGGTAAGTAAATTGACACAGGGGGGACTTGGGGACTTAATATGGGGGATGAATTAATATGGGGAATGAATATGGGGGAATTACTATGGGGGATGAATTACTATATGGGGGATGAATTACTATATGGGGGATGAATTTACTATGGGGGATGAATTACTATGGGGGGGGATGAATTACTATGGGGGATGATGAATTACTATATGGGGGATGAATTACTATGGGGGATGAATGGGGGGGATGAATTACTATGGGGGATGAATTACTATATGGGGGATGAAATTACTATGGGGGATGCTTACTATGGGGGAATTATATACTATACTTACTATGGATGACACATACACATCATTCATCTACTCTTGGTCCGGCCCCCGGGTCCAATATATGAACCCATTGCGGCCCTCAAGTCAAAACGTTTGCCCACCCCTGGTCTAAACAGTTGGTGGCTACAACCCACCAAGCACATTCTGGACTCTGCTACGCCTCCTCCTGTCCATGAGATGTCGGCTCAGAACTGACATATCCATGTAAAAGACAAGTCCAGTGACGTTGCCTAGGCCAAGATGATGTTACTGGTCTGCTGCATACAGGAGAAAGCATTTTATTCAGTCTTCTCTCCTCAGTGATTAGACTGAAACATGGTAACTTTGTATTTTAACCCTTGCGGCAGCACATAGTATTTAAAAAAAAAGCCAGAAAGACGAGAGTATCCGTTACTGTATTTGCAGCTTAACTGCATTATAGTAATAAATACAGAGGCTTCAACTGGGCTTCAGGAAAGTTCATCTAATCATCTGCAACCACCACAGGAACCCATTCCCCCTCTTCTTATTGCACACAGTCCTCTTATGTTAATACGTACTGAATTCCTGTTTAGAACCAATATTGCTGAAATTTCAAAGTTATTTCATACACTATAAATCTTCCCGTACATTTTTTTTTCCTGCTACACAGTCCGATGTGACAAGATTTGCTTCCATGAATTTATACATGATTTCACAAAAAATGCCGTCTCTAACCTTGAGAGTCCCAGGTAGCACATTAATCTCAGGGAACAGTCACTCTATGCAGTGGGTTTCATTGTCAAGGTCAGACCTTCTCCGTGTAGAAAGCAAAATGGCACAAACTGACGGAAAGTTTGCCAAGGTTCACGGGAGGTTACCGAACATAAAACAAGATTTTACTACATTAAATGACTCTGCGGCACTAAACAGAATCCTGGCAAGAAAAAAAAAAACAAGGAAAGAGAAGCGGTGTGTGTGCAGGAGAGCCTTGGGAAGAAAACCAAAAACAAGTATTTACCCAGACTGTAGACTATAGAGAGTACATAATAAGGCTGTCTCGATTAAGATCATCAAATACATAAAAATTATCAATATTGAATCCCAACCATGGTGCTGCCTGCATGGAGTTTGCATGTTCTACCTGTGCCTACGTGGATTTCCTCCCACAAGCCATGCTGGTTGGTTAATTGTCTCCTGTCTAAATTGGCCTTAGTATATGTATGTATTGATGTGAGTTAGGGGCCTTAGACTGTAAGCTCCCTGAGAGCAGGGACAAGATATGTAAAGAGCTATGCAAATTGATGGCGCTATATAAGTACCTGTAATAAATATCTACATCTATCTCTGTATTTATGTATATGTACAGTCAGGTCCATAAATATTGGGACATCAACACAATTCTAACATTTTTGGCTCTATACACCACCTCAATGGATTTGAAATGAAACAAACAAGATGTGCTTTAACTGCAGACTGTCAGCTTTAATTTGAGGGTATTTACATCCAAATCAGGTGAACAATGTAGGAATTACAACAGTTTGCATATGTGCCTCCTACTTGTTATGGGACCAAAAGTAATGGGACAGAATAATAATCATAAATCAAACTTTCACTTTTTAATACTTGGTTGCAAATCCTTTGCAGTCAATTACAGCCTGAAGTCTGGAACGCATAGACATCACCAGACGCTGGGTTTCATCCCTGGAGATGCTCTGATAGGCCTCTACTGCAACTGTCTTCAGTTCCTGCTTGTTCTTGGGGCATTTTCCCTTCAGTTTTGTCTTCAGCAAGTGAAATGCATGCTCAATCGGATTCAGGTCAGGTGATTGACTTGGCCATTGCATAACATTCCACTTCTTTCCCTTAAAAAACTCTTTGGTTTCTTTTGCAGTATGCTTTGGGTCATTGTCCATCTGCACTGTGAAGCGTCCAATGAGTTCTGAAGCATTTGGCTGAATATGAGCAGATAATATTGCCGAAACACTTCAGAATTCATCCGGCTGCTTTTCTCAGCAGTCACATCACCAATAAATACAAGAGAACCAGTTCCATTGGCAGCCATACATGCCCACACCATGACACTACCACCACCATGCTTCACTGATGAGGTGGTATGCTTAGATCATGAGCAGTTCCTTTCCTTCTCCATACTCTTCTCTTCCCATCACTCTGGTACAAGTTGATCTTGGTCTCATCTGTCCATAGGATGTTGTTCCAGAACTGTGAAGGCTTTTTTAGATGTCGTTTGGCAAACTCTAATCTGGCCTTCCTGTTTTTGAGGCTCACCAATGGTTTACATCTTGTGGTGAACCCTCTGTATTCACTCTGGTGAAGTCTTCTCTTGATTGTTGACTTTGACACACATACACCTACCTCCTGGAGAGTGTTCTTGATCTGACCAACTGTTGTGAAGGGTGTTTTCTTCACCAGGGAAATAATTCTTCGGTCATCCACCACAGTTGTTTTCCGTGGTCTTCCGGGTCTTTTGGTGTTGCTGAACTTACCGGTGCGTTCCTTCTTTTTACGAATGTTCCAAACAGTTGTTTTGGCCACACCTAATGTTTTTGCCATCTCTCTGATGGGTTTGTTTTTTTTTTTTTCAGCCTAATGATGGCTTGCTTCACTGATAGTGACAGCTCTTTGGATCTTATCTTGAGAGTTGACAGCAACAGATTCCAAATGCAAATAGCACACTTGAAATGAACTCTGGACCTTTTATCTGCTCATTGTGATTGGGATAATGAGGGAATAACACACACCTGGCCATGGAACAGCTGAGAAGCCAATTGTCCCATTACTTTCGGTCCCTTAACAAGTGGGAGGCACATATGCAAACTGTTGTAATTCCTTCACCGTTCACCTGATTTGGATGTAAATACCCTCAAAATTAAAGCTGACAGTCTGCAGTTAAAGCACATCTTGTTTGTTTCATTTCAAATCCATTGTGGTGGTGTATAGAGCCAAAAATGTTAGAATTGTGTCGACGTCCTAATATTTATGGACCTGACTGTATATATATTGCCAAAAGTGTTGGGGCACTCCTCCAAATCAAACATATCAAGTGTTCCAATCCCCTCCATGACCACAATCAAGCCCCTAGGTGTGCAGACTGCTTCTACAAACATTTGTGAAAGAATGGGTCGCTCTCAGGAGTTCAGTAAATCCAAGCGTGGTCCCGTGATAGGTTGCCACCTGTGCAATAAGTCCATCCGTGACATTTCCTGGCTACTAAATATTCCACGGTCAGGTGTTAGTGGTATTATAACAAAGTGGAAGCAACTGGGAACAACAGCAACTCAGCCACCAAGTGGTAGGCCATGTAAAATGACTGAGCGGGGTCAGTGCATGCTGAAGCACAAAGTGCACAGAAGTCACCAACTGTCTGCAGAGTCAATAGCTAAAGACCTCCAAACTTTGTGTGGCCTTCAGATTAGCACAACAACAGTGCATAGAGAGCTTCATGGAATGGGTTTCCATGGCTGAGTAGCTGCATCCAAGCCTTACATCACCAAGCACAATGCAAAGTGTAGTATGCAGTGGTGTAAAAGCACAAAACCAGTGGAGATGTGTTCTCTGAAGTGACAAATCATGCTTCTTTGTCTGGCATTCCGATAGGCGTGTCTGGGTTTGGCGGTTGACAGGAGAACGGTACTTACCTGACTGCATTGTGCCAAGTGTAATGTTTGGTGGAAGGGGGATTATGGTGTGGGGTTGTTCTTCAGGGGTTGGGCTTGGCCCCTTAGTTCTAGTGAAGGAAACTCTTAAGACGTCGGCATACCAAGACATTTTGGACAATGCTCCCAACTTTGTGGGAAGAGTTTAGGGATGGCCTTTCCTGTTCCAACATGACTGCGCACCAGTGCACAAAGCAAGGTCCATAAGTTCATGGATGAGCGAGTTTGTGGTGGAGGAACTTGACTGGCCAACACACAGTCCTGGCCTCAACCCGATGGAACACCTTTGGGATGAATTAGGAGTGGAGACTATGAGCCAGGCCTCCCCCCCCGACATCAGTGCCTGACATCATGTGCTTCTGGAAGAATGGTCCAACATTCCCATAGACACCCTCCTAAACCTTGTGGACGGTTTTTCCCAGAAGAGTTGAAGCTGTTATAGCTGCAAAGGGCGGGGCCAACTCAATATTGAACCCTACGGACTAAGACTGGGATGCCATTAAAGTTCATGTGCGTGTAAAGGCAAGCATCTCGTGCGTGTAAAGGCAGGCAATATAGTGTGTGTGTGTGTGTATATATATATATATATATATATATATACACACACACACACACACATATACACACACAAACTGTATATACACATAGTATTTATGCTGAAAAGCCAAAACATTATATTATGACCACGCACATAACACAATATATAGTGTGTATGTATATACAGTGGGGATCGAAAGTTTGGGCACCCCAGCTAAAAATTTGTATTAATGTGCATAAAGAAGCCAAGGAAAGATGGAAAAATCTCCAAAAGGCATCAAATTACAGATTAGACATTCTTATAATATGTCAACAAAAGTTAATTTTATTTCCATCATTTACACTTTCAAAATAACAGAAAACAAAAAAATGGCGTCTGCAAAAGTTTGGGCACCCTGCAGAGTTAATATCTTGTACTGCCCCCTTTGGCAAGTATCACAGCTTGTAAACGCTTTTTGTAGCCAGCCAAGAGTCTTTCAATTCTTGTTTGCGGTATCTTTGCCCATTCTTCTTTACAAAAGTCTTCCAGTTCTTTGAGATTTCTGGGCTGTCTGTCACGCACTGCTCTTTTAAGGTCTATCCATAGATTTTCAATTATGTTGAGGTCAGGAGATTGTGAAGGCCATGGCAAAACCTTCAGTTTACGCCTCTTGATGTAATCCCCATGGATTTCGAGGTGTGTTTAGGATCATTATCCATTTGTAGAAGCCATCCTCTCTTTAACTTCAGCTTTTTCACAGATGGCATCAAGTTACCATCCAAAATTTGCTGAAATTTTATTGAATCTATTTTTCCTTCTACTCGTGAGATGTTCCCTGTGCCACTGGCTGCAACACAACCCCAAAGCATGATTGATCCAACCCCATGCTTAACAGTTGGACAGAGGTTCTTTTCATTAAATTCTGTGCCCCTTCTTCTCCAAACGTACCTTTGCTCATTCCGGCCAAAAAGTTCAATTTTAACCTCATCGGTCCACAGAACTTGTTTCCAAAATGCATCAGGCTTGTCTATATGTTCATTTGCAAAGTTCAAACGATGATTTTTGTGGTGAGGACGTAGAAGAGGTTTTTCTTCTGATGACTCTTCCATGAAGACCATATTTGTACAAGTATGTCTTTATAGTGGAATAGTGTACCACAACTCCAGTGTCTGCCAGATCTTTCTGGAGGGATCGTGCAGTCAAACGTGGGTTTTGAATTGTTTTTCTCACAATCCTGCGAGCTGTTCTGTCTGATATTTTTCTTGGTCTTCCAGATCTTGCTTTAACTTCCACTGTTCCTGATGACTGCCATTTCATAATTACATTCCGAACAGAGGATATTGACATCTGAAAACGCTTTGCTATCTTCTTATAGCCTTCTCCAGCTTTGTGAGCGTCAACTATTTTCAGTTTCAGTTTTCTAGACAACTGCTTAGAAGAACCCATGGTGCTGATTGTTGGGGAAGGTCAGATGAGTCTGGGCATTTAAAACCTTTGAGATTGACATCACCTGCCAGTGTCACGATGATTGAGAACAATCCATGACACTGGCAGGTCTCAGCTTTGCAAAGGGGGCAGTGCATGCTATAAATTCTGCAGGGTGCCCAAACTTTTGCAGACGCCATTTTTTTGTTTTCTGTTATTTTGAAAGTGTAAATGATGGAAATAAAATCTAACTTTTGTTGACATATTATAAGAACGTCTAATCTGTAATTTGATGCCTTTTGGAGATTTTTCCATCTTTCCTTGGCTTCTTTATGCACATTAATACAAATTTTTAGCTGGGGTACCCAAACTTTCGATCCCCACTGTATATATATATATATATATATATATATATATATATATATATATACACACACACACACACATACTCACACACGAACTGTCATTATGACCACCCACATAATACTGAGTGGGTGAGTAGGTCTCCCTTTTGCTACCAAAACCGCCCTGACCCATTGTCATGGACTCTGCCAGACATGGACTGTGCAAAAATGGAAAACGAACAACAGATTGCAAAAGATAGCAGGACAAACCCCCCAAAATTATTTAAATATATGAATAGTAAAAAGGTCTGGTCCGAGCATGTAGGCCCTTTACAAAATAATCTAGAGTGGGTGACTGAGAACAAAGAGAAGGCAAATGTATGAAATCCCTTCTTCAGCTCAGTGTATACAAAGGAGCATGGGGGAGCTCTTGTCCATAATGGGCATAGTAATGACACAGCCCCAAATGATCCACATTGGCTCACAATTGATATGATCCAAAAATATTTAGACAGAATAAAGGTGAATAAAGCACCTGGACTGGATGGCATACACCCACGGGTCCTTACAGAATTGAGCTCTGTCATTTCAAAGCCATTGCTTCAAATTTTTAGGGACTCTTTAATGACTGGCATAGTACCACTGGATTGGCATAAGACCAATGTGGTGTCCAATATTTAAAAAGGGGTCAAAATCTTTACAAAGTAATTATAGACCTGTTAGTTTAACTTCTATCATTGGGAAGATACTAGAGAGTTTAATAAAAGACCACATAGATGAGTTCTTGCTGGAAAAAAATATTTTAAGCAACAGACAGCATGGATTCATGAAAGACAGAAGTTGTTAAACAAATCTGATTACTTTTTATGAGGGAGTGAGCAAAACCTTGGACAGAGGGGTGGCGGTGGACATGGTATACTTGGACAGAGGAGTGGCGGTGGACGTGGTATACTTGGACAGAGAGGTGGCGGTGGACGTGGTATACTTGGGCAGAGAGGTGGCGGTGGACGTGGTATACTTGGACAGAGGGGTGGCAGTGGACGTGGTATACTTGGACAGAGGGGTGGCGGTGGACGTGGTATACTTGGACAGAGGGGTGGCAGTGGACGTGGTATACTTGGACAGAGAGGGGTGGCGTGTGGACGTGGTATACTTGGACAGAGGGGTGGCGGTGGACGTGGTATACTTGGACAGAGGGGTGGCGGTGGACGTGGTATACTTGGACAGAGGGGTGGCGGTGGACGTGGTATACTTGGATAGAGGGGTGGCGGTGGACTTGGTATACTTGGACAGAGGTGTGGTGGTGGACGTGGTATACTTGGACAGAGGGGTGGCGGTGGACGTGGTATACTTGGATTTTGCAAAAGCGTTTGACACAGTTCTCCATACATGGCTAATGTGTAAGGTAAGGTCTAAAGCAGCGGTTCTCAACCTGGGGGTCGCGACCCATTTGGGGGTCGAACGACCATTTCACAGGGGTCGCCTAAGACCATCGGAAAACACATATTTCCGATGGTCTTAGGAACCGAGACACCGCTCCTCTGACTCAGTCGATGTGTGGGCGGGATGATACGCTGCCCTGTCACCTGGCCACACCTCCGGGATCACTCAACAGCTGCGCCTCCTCGCCGCTGATTGGCCACCGGAACTGTAGCTCAGGAGAGGCACACAGGCGGCCAATCACGGCGAGGAGGTGGAGCTTGGAGAGGAGGAGCCGAGCGGCAGCGCGCGTAGATCTAAGAAGATCGAGGGAGCTGCCGTAGTAAGAGAAGAGAGCGGCCAGAGAAGGAAGACAGCTGACAGGTAAGTGAGAGAGCGAGCCCAGGCTAGAGCAGGGGTCAGCAAGGTAAGTATCATTGGTGTCAGTGGGAGGAATAGTGCCCCATCATTTGTGTCACTAATACCAACGATGGGGCACTATTTCTCCCACCACTGACACCAACGTTGGGGCACTATTCCTCCCCCCATTGACACAAACGATGGGGCACTATTCCCCCCCCCCACACTGACACCAACAATGGGGCACTATTTCTCCCCCCACTGACACCAACGATGGGGCACTATTCCTCCCCCCACTGACACCAACGATGGGGCACTACTATTCCTCCCCCCCACTGACACCAACGATGGGGCACTATTCCTCCCCCCACTGACACCAACGATGGGGCACTATTCCTCCCCCCACTGACACCAAGAATGGGGCACTATTCCTCCCCCCACCGACACCAACGATGGGACACTATTTCCCCCCCCCCCACTGACACCAACGATGGGGCACTATTCCCCCCCCTGACCCCAATGATGGGGCACTATTTCCCCCTCCACCACACTGACATCAATGATGGGGCACTATTCCTCCCACTGACCCCAATGATGGGGCACTATTCCTCCCACTGACACCAACGATGGGGCACTATTCCTCCCACTGACACCAATTATGGGGCCCTATTCCTCCCAATGACACCAATGATGGGGCACTATTCCCCCCACTGACACCAATGATGGGGCACTATTCCCCCCACTGACACCAATGATGGGGCACTATTCCCCCCACTGACACCAATGATGGGGCACTATTCCCCCCACTGACACCAATGATGGGGCACTATTCCCCCCCACTGACACCAATGATGGGGCACTATTCCCCCCACTGACACCAATGATGGGGCTCTATTCCCCCCACTGACACCAATGATGGGGCTCTATTCCCCCCCACTGACACCAATGATGGGGCACTATTCCCCCCACTGACACCAATGATGGGGCACTATTCCCCCCACTGACACCAATGATGGGGCACTATTCCCCCCACTGACACCAATGATGGGGCACTATTCCTCCCACTGACACCAATGATGGGGCACTATTCCTCCCACTGACACCAATGATGGGCACTCCCATGACACCAATGATGGGCACTATTCCTCCCAATGACACCAATGATGGGGCACTATTTCTCCCACTGACACCAATGATGGGGCACTATTCCTCCCACTGGCACTAACGATGGGGCACTATTCCTCCCACTGACACCAACGATGGGGCACTATTCCTCCCACTGACACCAACGATGGGGCACTATTCCTCCCACTGACACCAACGATGGAGCACTATTCCTCCCACTGACACCAACGATGGGACACTAGTCCTCCCACTGACATCAGTGATGGGGCACTACTCCTTCCACTGACACCAATGATGTGGCACTAGTCCTCCCACTGCAAAATTACAGTTATGAAGTAGCAACGAAAATAATTTAATGGTTGGGGGTCACCACAACATGAGGAACTGTATTAAGGGGTCGCGGCATTAGAAAGGTTGAGAACCACTGGTCTAAAGGCTTGGAAAAATCTGTATGTAAATGGATTGAAAACTGGCTAAAAGATCGTATACAAAGAGTAGTGGTTAATGATTCGTATTAAGAATAGGGTTCTCAGTGGTGTACCTCAAGGTTCAGTGTTGGGACCCTTACCTTTTAATATATTTATAAACGATATAGGGTCGGGGATTATAAATACCATTTCAGTCTTTGCAGATGACACCAAGCTGTGCAGTGGAATAACGTCCTTAAAGGATGTCTCCAATTTACAAGCTGACCTCAATGCTCTGTGTAATTGGGCAACTGTGTGAGAAATTAGGTTTAATGTTGATAAATGTAAGGTTCTGCACTTGGGGGCTAAGAATTTGCATGCATCGTACATACTAGGGGGGGTACAACTGGGGGAATCAATGGTGGAGAAGGATCTGGGAGTTCTGGTAGATCACAAGCTTAATAATGGCATGCACAATCCTCTCTTGTATTAGGAGAGGTATAGACTCCAGAGAGAGAGATATCATTTCCCCCGGTACAAATCATTAGTAAGACCTCATCTGGAATGTGCAGTTCAGTTTTGGCACCAATTCACAAAAAGAACATTGGGGAACTGGAGAACGTACAGAGAAGGGCAACCAAACTGATCAGAGGCATGGAGGAGATCAGCTATGAGGAAAGATTAGAGGAACTGAATGTATACTCTCTTCAGAAGAGGAGATTAAGGGGGGATATGATCTCCATGTATAATACATAAGGGGGGATATGATCTCCATGTATAATACATAAGGGGGGGATATGATCACCATGTATAATACATAAGGGGGGATATGATCTCCATGTATAATACATAAGGGGGGATATGATCACCATGTATAATACATAAGGGGGATATGATCTCCATGTATAATACATAAGGGGGGGGATATGATCTCCATGTATAATACATAAGGGGGGATATGATCTCCATGTATAATACATAAGGGGGGATATGATCTCCATGTATAATACATAAGGGGGGTATGATCACCATGTATAATACATAAGGGGGGATATGATCTCCATGTATAATACATAAGGGGGGATATGATCACCATGTATAATACATAAGGGGGATATGATCTCCATGTATAATACATAAGGGGGGATATGATCTCCATGTATAATACATAAGGGGGGGGGGGGATATGATCTCCATGTATAATACATAAGAGGGGATATGATCTCCATGTATAATACATAAGGGGGGATATGATCTCCATGTATAATACATAAGGGGGGGTATGATCTCCATGTATAATACATAAGGGGGGATATGATCTCCATGTATAATACATAAGGGGGGATATGATCTCCATGTATAATACATAAGGGGGGATATGATCTCCATGTATAAATACATCAGTGGTTCATATAGTGAACTCGGAGTTATTCACCCTGAGGTCATCACAGAGGACAAGGGGGCACTCTTTACGTCTGGAGGAAAAGAAATGTAATCTCCAAACACAGAAAGGTTTCTTCACAGTAAGAGCTGTGAAAATGTGGAATAGACTCCCTCAAGAGTTGGTTCTGGCCAGTTCAGTGGATCGCTTTAAAAAATTCCTGGATTCTTTCTTGGATACACAGAATATAACTGGATACTAATATTTATAGGTAAAGTTGATCCAGGGAATATCTGATTGCCTCTTGGGGGATCAAGAACCCATTTATTCCCCTGCAGGAGCAAATTGGATAATGCTTTGCTGTTTTTTTTTTCATCCTCTGGATCAACTGTGGGTGTAGGATTTTTTTTTAATGGTTGAACTGGATGCACTTTTGTCTTTTTTCAGCCAGACTAACTATGTAACAAAGCATCACACTGCCTCTGCCAACTTGCCTTCTTCCCATATTGCATCCTGGTGCCATCCCTTCCCCAGGTAAGCAACACACATGCACCGTCCATCCACACGATGTAAGAGAAAACATAACTCATCAGTCCAGGGCTCATGGCACATTTAACACACTAAATTTTGGACTTGCATTATTTTTTCTCTTTTTTTTTTTTAACAAGGTATGCCACATTGCACATTTTATTTACTGTGTTGTGAGGTACAGTATCAAAGGTTATGACGTCATATATAGTTTCCGGGAAAATTCGTCTGATAAGCATAAGCGTGGACGACTGAAAGAGACAAAAGAATATTGCGCAGGATTGTGACCAGGAATAAGAAAACAACTGCTGCAAAAGTGGCCACAGAGCTCAATCTCAGTCTTCCAAAGCCCATATCCACAAACACTGTGCGGAGGGAACTCCACAAGCAAAGTACTCAACGGTGAGCTGTAATTGCCAAACCACTAATGACTTACATTAATGCTCATAAGAGAAGAGAAGGGTGCAAAACCCATAAATTGTGGACTATCGATAAATGGAAGACTGTAATATGGTCTGATAAATTGAGCTTCACACTGTTCCCAACCACTGGACGTGTTTACATGTGGTGAACACCATCCTAAGCTTACGACCAGGACTGTCTTGTGCCAACAGTAAAACATGCTGGTGGCGCAATCATGGTTTAGGCATCTGTATCTTGGTATCCTGCAGGCCCCATCATCCCCTTGAAAGGTAGAGTCACTGCCAGAGATTATGCACAAATTTTGGCTGACCATGTGCACCCCATGGTATAGACATTGTTTCCTTTAGACAGCTCAATTTATGAAGATGATAATGCTCCGGTTCACACAGCTGGCATTGCCAAATTGAGGATGACAAGCATGCAAATGAAATCTCGCACTTTCCCTGGGTGCCTCAGTTGCGAGACCTCAATATCATAGAGCCACTAGGGTCAATTTTGGAGAACAAGGCTCAGGTTTGATTTCTGCCTCTGGCATCTCTGCGAGAACTGGAATGATTTTTGCATGATCTGTGGTATCAGATTCCATATTCACCAACCAAGACTTAGATTTGTCAATTCCCAGGAGGTGATTGTAGCCGTATTTGTCAGGAATGGACTCACCACTGGTGGTTAGACTCACCACTGGTGGTGGGACTCACCTGCCGTGTGGGCTGCAGTACCAGGGCTGGCCAGCGGGTGCTCTAAGCAGCCAGAAGCTCACTCCTGCAATCAAGTCATCACCTGAGGCTGATTGCAGGAGCAGTATTTAAGGAGTGGCCAGGCCTGCAGTCAGTGCCTTGGTGTATAGTTTCCCTTGGCCCCTGTATCCTGATAATGCCTGCTTGAATCCTGACTCTGCATGAACTCTGCCTGTACTGACCTCGGCTATTCCTGACTACTCTTCCGCCTGCTCCTTGTACCTTGCCTGCCCGTTTGTTACCGACCCGGCCTGCCCGACTACGTATAGTATTGTTCTTATTGTTATCTGTTGGAGGTTTGGTTTGTTTGCACTGTGTTTATGTTTAGTCTTGCACTGCGTTTATGTATTGTTTAGTCTTGAATAAATTGTATTGTTTATACTATACCTGAAGCCTGCGTTTCCCTGTGTCAGTCCACACACCTCTGGTCATACCTGGAGCCCTGACAGTATTAGTGCATTTGCGACAGGAACAATTGAGTACTGTCTGTGATACTTTTTTTATTTGCACTAACATACAATTTTGAGGACAAGCTTTCGGGAAATGTCACCTTCTTCACTGCTTAGACCTGAAGAAGGGGACATTCCCTGAAAGCTTGTCCTCAAAATTGTATGTTAGTGCAAATAAAAAAAGTATCACGGACAGTACTCAATTGTTCCTGTCAATTCCCAGGAGAATTCAGACTGTCTTGGATGCCAAAGGCCGTCCAACACCATATTGAGTAAAGATTTAGTTCTTTTACCTGGTGTTTCCATAATTTTATCCAACTCCTTTATATTCCCTTTGAGGTTATTGCGGGACATATTAAAAAAAAAAAAAGTTTATGTGCCTGGATTTCAGATCTAATAAAGATTTATCATGGAATGGAACTCAAAAACAGAGCTTCCATTTTTCATTCACGAGAAAAGCTGCTTGTGGCTGAGTGATGCTGTGGGAGAGCTTGCACCAGGGACCAGAAAAAACACACACGATGGAGACCTGAATCAGAGCTCTATATTGCATAGCATTGGACCATTAGTCTGTGTAATTTAGGGACAGGAGCGTGAAACAGCTTATGGAGTAGATTATGAAGTTCACATGCTTGAGGAACAGAACGCCTGAGTAAAAGCAACCAAAGCCGGTTACATTTTTCACCCTATTGCTAAATACTGCGAGACTGAATGGGCGCCACCCCCCCAAAACATAATCACAATTTTTTGATTTTCATGAAAAACATATACGGTATTTTACTACAAATTCATTCAGTCCACTTGATGCTTAACATTTAGAAACCTGTAACCACATTGTTTTCCGTTCGCTTATTATCTAATCTATTCTGTTAGCATATGGGAGAGTATACTAATGAGAGTCTGTGGCGATGTGACATTCACTCTGTTGCAATGTTGAGATAACCCAGAAACAAGCAAAAGAAAATCTATACAACTGCATTATTAATAGCTGCCTGGTGACCTCTCCTTATCTCCACCAACTTAGAGGTGACATTGAATTTTTCAATAAAGTTTCCACTTTGGTGTCGGACACGTGCTCCTTAATGATTTTGCATCAGGCCCATTAAACGTCTTCAAGAATGAATGAAAGTTTTTGCTTCGGACTTTAAAAACTAATGAAAGAATTTATAGTAAAAAGTATGAAGACGGGTATCGGTGGTCCAAAACCTGCATGTTACATGCAGGTGGCGGACTGACAACTCATGGGGCCCCCCGGGCAATAGGGGGTCATGGGGCCCCTGT